TCGAATGTAGGATTGAGGAACAAGACTTGATAGTATACAAGTCGTTTGTGTCATAAGTCCAAATTCATTTATCTTCAAGTCCTTGATTCAAATGGATATTTGAAATTAAATGTTACAATCCTTCGCTTCTTGAACATTTCGATCACGAAGCTCTCTTCTCTAGTTTAATTTTCAAGACCAACCTAAACACACGACCGTTCTATTTCCGAAACTTTGCAGTCTTTGTCACTAGCTAACTTGTAAAGACTTGAAAAATTCTAGCTTAAAGTTGTTCTACCTACCCACACATCCTTTCAAAACATGATAGATCTACCATTGCTAATGCTAAGTGAAAGCCTTTATTTGATAAAAATAGTGAAAATTGAGCGAGATATCTTTCTAACAAAAAGATAAATTACCTATAAAATAAGAAAGACCATTTATATAGGTTGGTTTGTATTTCTAAAAGATAAATGTTTTTCCAATATAATTTTCCATATCCACTTGATAAGTAAAGCCTTATTTTTTTCTTGTTATATAACTTGAATCCACCCTACCTTTTTTTTTCAATCTAGCCACCGGACATAAAGTCACTTTATAAACCTTTCAATTATCCGAATCTCTACTTCATAAGAAACATTGCTACATAGAAATAAGCTTTTTACCACATCTTTAGGCACTCTAAATAGATAAAGGTATTAGACATGAATACTTGAGAGGACTAATTTAACGAGATAGATTCTTCCATCCAAGGATAAGATCTTTTGTTTCTATGATAAGAGACTCTTTCTAACATTGTCTAACATAGGTTTCCCGATAGAGAGATGCCTTGGACTAGCTCTAAGAGCTAATCTAAGGTAATTTGAGGGAAGAGAGCCCGATTTACACATTATCCGGATAATCATATTAGCACACATAATTTTATTAACATTTATGATAATAAAAGAGCTCTTGTAGAAATTGACTTTTAACCCTAAGTATAACCGAAACCACCTTAAAATTCTCTTAACATTCATCAAAATGTCATAATTATTAGGACAAAAGATGACTATGTCATCAACGTAGTATAAATAACTAACATAGAAATTACCTTCCAACTCAATGCTATAAAAAATATCTTGATTTGTAGCTCGATACGGGAAGACTTAAAAGTCTTTCTATAACAATGTTAAAATAGAAATGAGAGAGAATGTCTCCTTGGTGAATCTTTTTTGCGATGCCAAATTCTATGGTAAGAGATCCATTAATCAAAACTATCATTCTAGTTGTATAAATAAACTTATTGATCCAACTCTGCCATTTCTAATCAAAACCCATGTACGCCAAGATCGAATTATGTAGTCCTACCACACGAGTCGAGAGCTTTTTGGAAATCAATTTGGAAAATGAACCCATCAAGTTTCCTCCTCTTCATGCTATGAAGCACTTCACTAGCAATCAAGACACTATTTAGAATTTGTCTATAGGATATAAAAGTAAATTGTTAATCACTCACCATCTCATTCATAAGTTTCTAAAATCTTAGAGATATAATTTTTATAATTATCTTATAAAAATCATTGACTAAGCTAATGTGTCTAAAATTTTAAAAGAAATTTACCTCATTAATTTTTAGAATTAGAGTAACTAACAATTTTTAATATCTTTTGGCATATTTCTAGTTTTAAAAAATTTAGAGACCATGGAAGAAATATCATTACCAATAAAATGCTAAGATTATAGAAGCTAAAGTTATACCCATTAGGACTTGGAGCTTTAGAGTCGTCATAGCTCTATACTCGCTTGTTTCACATCATTAAAAGAGACCATTTTCTCTAAATTAATTGATGAACCTAAGCTTAATTTCTTGAAACCATTACTCCTTAGTATTAGTTGATGTCGGGATTCATTGGCAAATAAATTAAAATAAATCTTCGAACCTTAACTTTGATAGCATCGAGTTTGAGTATGAAATCCCACCAATAATTATTTATGCTAATTTTTTCTTCTTTCCTTTGATTGGTTTTGTCACCTGAGTCGTTTGTTTGACGAAAAACAACTTCCAACAAAAAAAAATAATTATGGAGAAGTTATTTTCTAAAAACAAATATTTTTTGACCTTTGGCAATTACATGAAAAAACTACCGAAAAATATATTACAACATTTGTTTGATATAGAAAACTCGAAATATAAAAACAGATTGTGATTGTTACATCAATGAGTTTTAAGGGAACTTCAACAAGGCATATTCATAATCTCACAATATAAGATACATTTAGAAAATTTTAATAAATTTTTATAACTAATGACTCTAAGATTTAAATTCAAAAAAATCAAAAAATTAAATATACATTTTTAATCATCAAATCAATTCATCAAAACTACTTGAGACAAAATCAAGTCAATATTCACATTTAATAAAAAAATTTTAAGTAATCCTAGCATTATTATTTTGGTAACTTAATTAAGAATTTTTTTTTTTTTTGGAAATTGAACTGATAATTTAGTCTAAAAATATTTTTAAATTATTAGTTATCATATGTAGATAATTATTCATTTGGTTTCAAAAGATTAATGTTAGAATAATTTATAAAAATTATTGACTATAATTACTAATAAAATTTTACAACTGATTAAAATTAGTCATAAATTATTGATTTAGTTGCAAATAAATAGTGTTGAAAAAATAATATATTTATTAATGATTTAATTAGTTGTAAAATTTTCATGAATGATTGCAGTCTTGTAATAATCATTTTCAATAATTTAAGTATATTTTAGGTGGCATTTGAGATAATGGTTAAAAAAAAAGAGATAAATTATTGAAATATTTATTATAAAAATTATTTTAAGGTGTAAAAATGGTTTATAAGAATATTTAATATGTTTATAAATAAAAAATCAAATATTAGTAGAAATAGAGAAAAATAATTAAATAATTAATAATAATTGATAAGAAATAATTAAAAATTAATTTGATATATTTTAAATAAAAAGGAGATAGAGAAATTGAGTAACGTGAGAGCGAGACAACTCGTGAGAGAGAGAAAAAATGTTTTTATCTTTTTTTAACTCAAAAAACACTTTCAAAAATAGCATTTCAAATTTCGTTTATTGAAAATAAAATTCTATTGATTTTTTTTTTCCTAAATGCGAAACAAATATAGAAAAATGAAGAAAAATGAGGAAAATAAAAATTTGAAACTTATTTTCTACAAAACATAGCCCTAATTTTGCATCAATTAACTCTAGATTTCTGTTTTCATAAAGATTTAAGATTTCTAATAACAGTTCACATTTGAGATTGAGAGTTTTTCGGTTCATCCAATTTTGAGCTTGATAGAACACGAAACTCCGGTCCCTTGATAATTCTAAAGAATGGATTTTTTTTCCCTTCAAGTCCTGAAGCTATTGATCCAAATTCCTAAAAATAAGGGAATTCCACTCTTTCAACTGCAATAGAAGCCAACTCAATTTTTTTGTAACTCTAACACAATTTGACTAGCCTTACAAACCTCATCTCACCGTTTTGTCATATCGGCACACCTTATCAATACTACAAGATAATTGGAGTATTTAGTTTTAATTTTATTTAAAATTGAATCCGGATCCTATGCCCTATTGTATTTCCAATTTCATAAGAATCTAGACATGACCTTTAAAAGTTTATAACAATCCTTTAATGTCTTACCAATTTTTTTCAATGTCTGAGAAATCTTGTAAAAATCAACTTTTTTTCTAGAATTTTTTTTAGAAATTTTACCCGACTTTACCAAAAAAAAAAAAAAACTGCACATCCCTATCAAATTGAATTTAAAAAATAAATGAGCTAGTATATATATTTTGAACGTCAAACTTTTTTTGGTAGCTTGAAATGAATTTTATGATTGTTAGGTTCTTTAGACAACTGCTACAAAATTAAGAAGGATAGGTACCAATTCCCATACCCTATAATTTGAAAAAAAGAAAAAAGAAAACCCAAGTGGATCTGTAGGGATAAAAAAGAAAGAAAACGGCCAAGGGGCAAGGGGCATGAAAGAACATAGCCGCCTCGCCTATCTATACGTGTAAGTTTGCATGAAAATGTCAATAGCAAACTCCTAAGGGTTTTCTTGTCATTGCAGTCCCAAGAATACTAAGAAATTTGGACAAGGAAATGCCTTAAGCGGTTTCCTTGTACTCTATCAACTAAAGTGGTTTTTCTTCAGGTCTTCTCTGGTTTTAAACTTCTCTCTCTCTCTCTCTCTCTCTCTCTCTGAATAGAGACAGAAAAAATTGAACAGGGTATCTTAAGACCATTTTATATAATATTATTTTTTATTTGTTGTACACAAAGTCAGTCTACTTTTGCAGATAAAGAAAGCTGAAAATAAGGTTTGTCTTATTTATTTGCATTCAATTTGCATTCTTCTTTTTTCTCCTCATTCATCTTCTTTCTTTTATTTCTTTTCTTTTTTCCGGTTCCTTCTTTATCAAAACTCTCTCTTTATTTCTTTGTTTGTATGTGTGTGAACTAAAAGGATATGGCGATGATATTTATAGGAGAAAGAAGATGGTAGTTTTATGCCATTTATGGGGTTTTCAAGAGCTCTTGGATTTGGAGTTGGAGGAGGAATAGTACAAGCAGAACAATTAGAAACCAAGCTTTTTGAGGGTTCTTTCATGGCTTCTACTGCTACTACTAATAAAGTCATCAATCACTCAACCCATCAATTTGAACAGCAGCAGCAGCAACAACAAAATCATCATCAACAACAGCAAAATCATCATCATCATCAGCAGCAACAACAACAACATCACCATCACCATCATATACAAGAGCAACATCATCATCAAATTCCTTATGGAATCATGCAATCATCATCATCATCCTCAGTCCCTGGGAACTTCATGTAATTTTTACAGTACTAACGGAATCATCAAGAACCCATTTTAAGAGTCTCTTTTCTATAATCTTGTTTAGAAGTCTAATTATTAATTAATAAAAGGTTTGACCTGCAAAATAATAATTTGTTTCTCTGTGATTTTCTTTTGTTTTTACATGTGTACTTTTGGTGTCAGAAGCAAAGATGCTGGAGCTTATGACTTGGGAGAATTGGATCAAGCCCTTTTTCTCTATCTTGATGGACAAGACCCTTCCACTGTTACTCAAGACCAAAGACGTGAGCTCTCTCTCTTCCTAATTTTCATTTTTCTCATTTTTTTTTTTTTCGTTAAGCTTTCTCCTTTCCACTTTTCTGTTTCTGTTGGGAAGATTCTCTTTGGAAGGGGCTGTTTGAGGGTCACAAGGAAAGCATGTTCAACAGCAGATTACAAGTCTGCCTCTCTGCCAATAGTACTTTCTTTGACCAGATCCTGTGCCTTGCAGCTGCACGAAAGATTTTTTCAAATTTCAAGAAAAAATTCGTTTTCTCTCCTTCTTTTCCCACCCCTTTTTGATTTTTTTTTTTTTGTTGCTTCTTGTCTTGAGAATAAGACCGTGACATAGAACAATCCTACACACATATCATGATCAATTCCTTACTCATTTCACCATGTACTGAAAAGGGTACGAATAGGGTATGGGTTATTTCTGCCTTTTTTTTAATCTTTGATTCCTTCCTTTTCTTTTTTGATACCGTAGAGCTACAATTGCATGACGATCCGGCCTAATATACTTCACTTTCATGTCTCATACCTCTCTTGCCTTGTCTCCCTTCCCTCTCACTCTGTCCTTCTTTAATTATTCTCTCTCTCTCTCTCAAATTTATAGCTATAAAGAGAATTTATTTTGATTTGGGTGTGTGTGCAGAGAGTGGTGCAGGAATGAGACCTCCAACTTTAAATATTTTCCCATCTCAGCCTATGCACGTAGAGCCACCATCAACCAAGGTATAATAAAATCAAAACCGTTAATTGATTTTTAGTGGTATATAAACTTCTTTTCTTGCTGGTTCAGTTAAACCTTCTTATATATATATATATATATATATATATATATATATATATATAAGTCCTAAATATTTTCTAATGGGTTTGTTTTGGGTTTGGTAGGCTAATACTACTAATGCTACTGGATTAGTTTCTTCCGCAACTGGTGGTTCAAAGAGACCATCAGAACCGTCGATGGAGTTGGCTAATACAAGAAATGATTCTGCACCTGTTCCTGAACCAGCTAAAGCTATCAAGGTAGATTAGGACTACTAGTACATACAAGATAGAGCATTATAATATTTATTTAAATATTAAAAAACCTAAGTCTACATATATAGCTTATTCCTAACTGAGATTCTGAGATTTGAATTTATATTTAAAAAGTTCGATTCTTGTTGTTTATGGCAGCGCGAAGGGAATCGTAAAGGTCCAACAACATCAAGTTCGGAGCAGGAAGGATCCAAGACACCAGACCCTAAGGTGACTTCCTTTGGTTCACTATTTATGGCATACAGTATTACGTTTGTTTAATTTCGTATAAGGTTAATTACGACGTCGTTGAATGTTTTTCATGATCAATTTTTATGCAGACCTTGAGGAGGCTTGCTCAGAATAGAGAGGCAGCGAGGAAAAGCAGGCTAAGGAAAAAAGTCAGTCCACTGATAATTATTATCTTTGATTTATTGGCAACTATTATATTAATTCCCAAACGGTAATTCAACTCATAAAATCATGAGGTTTGTTTCCTTTTGTTTGTTTCATTATTTCAGGCTTATGTTCAGCAGCTAGAGTCAAGCAGGATTAAACTTACCCAATTGGAACAAGAGCTACAAAGGGCCCGAGCTCAAGTGAGTTAAAGTCTTAATTACTAACATATTTTCATTGTTTATTTATAGTATCATCATGGGATGTATCAAGATTCTTTCTGTCGTTCCTCCTAGGGCGTATTACTTGGTGGAGGAGGTCTTTTAGGAGAACAAGGCCTTCCTGTTGGTATCACCAATATTAGCTCAGGTATTTAAATCTTTATATCCAAAATAAATTAGTACTTCTTCTTTTTCTTTTTCTTTTTTTCTTTTTTTTTTCCCTTTTCAGCAAAAAGTTGATTATCTATATGCACTAATTATCTCTCTTCATGGATAATAAACCCCATCTCTATTTTACTCATTTTATTTTTTAGGGCATCAAAGTAATGACCTCTTTTCCATCTTATGCTTTCTAGATGCTGCGTTTTTTGACATGGAGTATGCAAGATGGCTTGAGGAGCACCATCGCCTAATGTGCGAGCTTCGAGCAGCAGTACAAGAGCATATACCTGAAAATGAGCTTAGGCTCTTTGTTGACAACTGCTTGGCACATTATGACGAGATGATGAATCTCAAAAGCATGGTTGCCAAGACCGATGTCTTCCATCTTGTTTCTGGCATGTGGAAGACTCCGGCTGAGCGGTGCTTCATGTGGATGGGAGGTTTCCGCCCATCTGAGCTCATCAAGGTACTCAAAACCCTACCCTTTTCAATTAACCGTATTTGGTTTTTTTTTTTTTTTTTTTAAGAAAAAAATTTGAGGTTAACTCGGTTTTCTGGAAATATTTATAAATATATATGTTGATAAATGAGAATAGTGAAATGATGTGAGGATATTATTAGATATTGCACGAGGAATATAGGACGTTATAATTAATGCATGGTACACAACTTGTCGGTGGAAATGACAAAGAAGATAGCCTAAAACACAAAGAAATTATGAATATCAATGAATGACGAAACAGATCGTGAAGGTTTCTACAAATGGGTAGAGTTAGGTGTCAATCTAATAAAGCCCTTGTTTGTTACTACAACTTCTGGTTTCATTTACACAGGAGAGAATGAGAAAGAATTGCACGGCTATCTACTCCGTGTCTTTCTCTTCGTTTTTTGTCAAAAGATACGACAGGTCTTGTTTGCATGTCCATCTTTTCCTTTGGTCTGTAGTGAGTTAATTAGCAAAGCCCTAAAAAAATGGTAACAAGTGTCATTAGTAGTAGTTTACCAAATTCTTTTTTATAACGTTAATTGTGTGCTTAAAATGATACAGATAATAGTGAGTCAAATTGAGCCATTAACGGAGCAACAAATCTTGGGAATATGTGGTTTGCAACAATCGACACAAGAAAACGAAGATGCACTCTCTCAAGGACATGAAGCTCTCAATCAATCTCTTTCAGATACCATAGCTTCGGAATCATTGAGCTGTCCTCCTAATATGGCTAACTACATGGGCCAAATGGCTGTAGCAATGAACAAGCTCTCCACTGTTGAAGGATTTGTTAGACAGGTACATATGATCTAACCATCTCGATCTCTCTCTCTCTTTAAGTTGGTATATCTTTTTGATAATTGAGTTTTTATTCAGTTAGTGATGTTAAATTTGTTAGTGGGCCCTCATATAGTGGGGGTCCAGTAACAAGAATCTGGTCTTGTTTGGGTTGGGAAACCTACCCCAACCCATGAAACTACTCCATGTCTCACCCACATGAGGTTGGGTAGTGGTTACTGGTTACATATAATATATATTCATGGTCTCTACAATATATCTGCTATGCCATGATATTATGTTGGATTATAGAACGTACAAAAAGTTTTTTTGAAAGCAACTGATGAAAAATCTTATAATACATTAAGTTTAATTAGTGATATATACAGTAATTAATCAATAAATTTATTTTAAAGAGAGATTTAGATATATATATAAAAAAAGAAATAGGAGAGAAAAAACTTAAAAAATATTGAATGAATCTGAAAATCTTCTTATTACTTTGATTAGTCTGAATGTAATTTAATGTATCTATCTCTCTTCTTAAAGTGAGTTTATTGAGTAATTATTATATATACCATTAATTACTTTTTATGTATTATAAAATTTTTCAGCAATTAATTGTATATAGTTAGGCATTTTTTAGTTTTTCACATAATTTGCTAGGTTCCTTATGAAAAGAAAGGCTTAATGCCCATCACAGAATTTGGGGAAAATTAATGCTGCATATCTACTATTTAAAATCATTAATTTGAAATTAAAGAATGCATACACAAACATGAAAATTGAAAATGCATGTAGCTCAATGAAATTCCCATTTCACTCGAGGAATTTCAGTACGTTGTTTTTTTTTTTTTTTTTCAGAGCTTTGTATGCGTGTGTATACATGCACAAATCATTAACGCTTATTTAAAACTTACTAATAAAAGAAAAAATATGTTAAGAGCTTTTTTAAGAACCATTTACTACGTGCTGTGAGCATATTTCTGTCTTTAACCATCAGGATTGGGTACAAATCCCTGCATATTAGGCTTTAGGTAGGATTAGTGTCAGAATAATGGCGTGGTTCATTGGTAAATTGATCATTACCAGCTTCAAAGTTTTACACGTGGCAAGCAGATAAAGCTATGGTCCCCACAGATAATTATCAACATCCGGGAGATCTCATAAGCCCATGCTTTTTATGATGTCATGGTCGTAACCGTTTGACTTGAAGACAACCTTAGTCCATTCTTCATAACTCTCTTTTTGACTGTTCAAAACCCAGCCTGATCCCCTGTAACTTGGCTCGGCGGGTTTCCTGAGTTGACTCGGTAAATTTACCATTCTATTGAGTTTCTCTTCAGCAATGAACTCTATTTCTAGACCCTACGACACCCTCTTCCCTACTTGTTTCAAATTTTCTTTTTTTTTTTTTTTAACATTTGTTGTTGCATGGAAAATATAAATATTAAGAAGCAAACAAGAATTCCAAACTATTGTTTGAAGACATAGGGTTAGGTGGGCCCAAAAGTTTGAATGCTAGGCCCAGATCTTTGAAAAATATTACTACTAGTGTACGACCATATATACAGGGAAAATAAAAACAAAAGATTAGAGCTCTTCCTCACGTTGATGGATCCATTAGTCAAGAATGTTTTCCATTGATTCTAATCAAGCTATATCAATCAAAATATAGAAAGTCATGATAATCATCACAGATGCTCACCCATATACATGTGCAATAAATAGTTTGACCACTTTTTAATTTCCATCAGTTGACTTGTAGTACTTTGAATTTCCCGTTCTGCTCTAAAGACATTAACATGCATGATCAGTCGTCAATAGGATGCTAAGTAAATTTATGCAATAGTAATTTCCTGCTTAAATTTTCCTCTGTGGCTCTATTTTTGTCCACTATCAAACTTCTAGACATTTGTGACAGTAAGACTAAAATAACAGCATGCAACTCTTTACCAGGACTAAAACAACCCACATCTTCCATTTCCCAATATTTCTTTCAATAACCCATTTGACAATCAAGACCCCAAAGCATCACAAAGTCATGGGTAGATAGCATGATTATTTTTAATGTTTTCATTAATTAAGGTCAAGTTTAATCACACCATATTCTAAATGTCGACATGGATGACTTCTTTTTTTCTATTTTGCTATATAAAGAAAAAAATATTTCATGTTATTTATATTTTTGAGATAAACTTGCGTATATATACTTACAGGCAGATAATCTGAGGCACCAAACAATCCACCGGCTGCATCAATTACTCACAACCCGTCAAGCTGCAAGGTGTTTGCTTGCTATCGCCGAGTACTTCCATCGTCTTCGAGCTCTCAGCTCTCTCTGGTTGGCTCGTCCCCGGCAAGAATGAATGATAGAAACCCTAGACTTTTAGCACCACTTTTATATCTTTTAGTATCACTTCCTCTTAATTATAATTAAATATGTCTTCTATATTTCTTTTCCTTATTTTCTACAGAGAGATGTATAGATAGACCAAATAGTAGAGTAAAAATTTGAAGTGGTAGAACTCTCACTTTCTCACTTGATCATTTCTTCTTGAGAGATTCAGAGAAGTAATGATTTGGCAGCTATCTTTGACTAGAAATATACAGATGATCAGGAAGGAGAATTGGTGAAGATGGAAAAGAAAATAATTATTATCTAAAAGGGGCTTTGAATTGGAGGATGCAAGATCAAGAATGTTTGGTATGCTTCTTGTTTGTATTTGTGAGAGTTAAGACAAAAGTATTTGGTTCAAGAGAGAAAGAAGAAGTTATGGAGTAACTAAAACGTCCATTTGGCTGAGGTGTTGATGCATGCATGCATGCCTTTTAGCCCGTGGCATGGGATCATAGAAACTGACAAAGTAACATTTACGTTGTACTTTGGCAATTTTCACCGTGTATTAATTGGCCCTTGATCACCACTTAAAGAAGTACTCGAAGTTTTTATGCACTATATCTGTTCATGAGATCATGAAACTGTCAATTCGGTATGGTTAAGTTGGATAAAACTCCACCAGTCACGTAATAATACAAGGAAAAAAAATCATAGTGTAAGAGCAATATGGATTTATTTGTTTCAATAAAAAAAATATTTGATAAATTTCTTACTGATATTGTTATTTTTATCTCAATTGGTTGGGATTTAGATTACATGAAAAGAAAAATTCGACTTTGAAATTTTTTGAAAAAATACGGACGATAATATCAGTTAAGTTACAGCTCGTTGACTATAATGATTATACTTTACAAGTTAACAATACTAAATTATAAATACAGTAGCAATTTAGAATTTTCATTTTGTCTCGAAGTACAAGAATCCGTCCAAGCTGAGTGGAAGAATTTTCGAGAGATGGGTTTGAATCATGCCATTTACTTGAGAAAATCAATTTGATCTAAGTTCCAGCTCCTTTATTAAAAGGCTTAATTTGAAATCTCTGGTAGATGATATCATGAAAATTTGGGTTCTGCTTCTGTTCACGGGTCATGAAAAAAACAGTGATTTTTTCTGGTCGGGGCCGAAGAGGAGAATATTTTCTCCTGTGATTAGAAATGTGGGCCATGGCCGAGTGGGAGAGATTTGACGCCACCTAAATTTTGCAAGTTATAATCTCTACCTAGTTCCACTAAAATGCCCTGAACCTGAAAGCCTATCGAATTTACAAATAGGTTGGACTTGGTTCAAGACGTAAGAAAATTACGAACTAGACTAATCCCGGCCCATTCTGGAGAATATCTGATCCAAGCTCTATTACAATTATTGCCTAGTTAGAATCTGTCACACCATTTCTGAATTAGGCAAATCAATCAAATTCCAATTTCCAAACGCATTTATTTTCTGAAATTTTATAAGTTGTTCAAAAATAGAAAAACAAAACAATAAGAAGATTGAATTGATGGCCTCTGACATCTTTTTGTATCTAGCGTGATGAATGAATCTAGCCATCTTAGTGGGCTTGCTGTTTGATACTTCCATGTGGGCTGAATCTAAGTTTTAAATGTCATGTAACTGGGTTAGCCCAAGCTTTCCCTTTTGGGCCTTGAGCCTTGATCCATTTTATAAAAAAATTAATTAATCCAAGGGCCCTACCGGGTTCGAACCGGTGACCTCTTGATCTGCAGTCAAATGCTCTACCACTGAGCTAAGGACCCTCGTTGGTCACGGACGAGTTAACATTTACAAATAGAATATCAAAAAGAAATAAAACTCAACAAGTTTTCTTCCCTTGTCGGCTTATGATCACATAAAAGTCTCTCTCTTCGTTTGCCGGTTCAAAATGAAAGTCACGCGTATAACCAAATTTTATCGATGGGGACAACTTGAAGCATCTTCCTTCCTACAAACTCACAGGCTAGCTAGTACTGAGGTTCTCCAATAGACTGATAACGTAGGTCTTGTGTATAACGCCTGAAAATTGCAGTAGTTTTAAGGAGCCGTGTCAATAGCATATCTTCATCTTCAGTATCTATGTCAAAATGATCTTGTTTGGGTCAATAAATTCACTTTTGATTGTGTGTACTTCACAACGAACTGTAGGTCAAGAACAACTTCCCGGCCAAGAAGAAGGAAGATCAGAAAGCGTTGGATGCCCCTTTGATGAAGGCCATTGAAGGAGTCCCAGATTTGAAGTCATATTTGGGTGCAAGATTCTCTCTCAAGTCAGGCATGAAGCCTCATGAGCTTGTCTTCTAGGGAAAACGAATTAGCTATCTTACACTATTCATTTTTTTTTTTAAGAAGATTTTGATTATAGATGGTTGAATGATTTGATATTTATGACTAAGAATCCAAAATTTTGCACATCAAGAGTCTTTTTGGTTTTCCTACAGCTTTGTTTATTCTTTTCAGTCTATTAATGCCTTAGCCCCAATAAGTTTAATGTTTTTTCAGCTTCCTCGTTCCCAGTTTTTTTTCTTTTCTCAAATATTTTATTTAAATTGTTGATCCTGTTTACTTCAAGGAATGGACTCATGTTTGCTCTTTATGAAATTACGTTCTACAGCCAGAACATGGTTATGGTATGTGTTTGCCATCTAATGGGAAAATGAAAATCAAATGCAATGGTTGTTAAATAAATCTAATCAATTTTATGTATGTGTTGACTGTTAAAACATTAAACTGGTTCTTAAAGAGTCTGCTTTATTACATCATTTTCTTGACAGCAAAACATAGATTAGCATCCTAGTAGTCCGAAGAAAAATGAGTGATTTTTTATTAACAAACATTTCCAACAAATATAACTGAAAATTGAAAACAGAACAAGAAGCGATCCATTTCCTTTTGTTCAAAGCATGCTATCAGCTCGAGATGGCAATCTCCTGAAGAAATTGCTGGGAACTGATGGTTGTTTACTTCGAAATCTAGGATGTCGCAGCCAGAATAAGCCTGTGACCAAGGTAATTATTTTAAAAGGTGTTATGTAGAGCGCCACAGCTGCAATAAGGCAGAAAACTACGAAGAGGCTGGTTGCTCTTGGGTCTCTCCAGCCGAGCAGAGCCTGAAAACGTTCCCCTTGTGTTGCCATGTCTCCCACCACGGTCTGGACCCTTCCTGCAACACTTCTAAGCCTGTCGTACCTCATCCGCACCACGTCCTGTTGCTTTGATGTAGGAAAAGTGTCGAACTCTTCGTCCAGTTCATCTGGATGAACGGCTTCTGCCCATGAAAGTTTGGTATCCATGTGAGGAGGGTGCCTTGGGCGGAACCGGTAATTCCATACTCCAATCAAGAACATATATAGGAAAATAGTTGGCAGAATCAGTTCTGGGTAGCATATCAATATGAAAAATAAAACGTGGAATAGGACTGTTGTCAGTGGATTCTTCCATTGACACACTTCACCCAGCCACTTGCTCATCGAGATCACACCAGAAAAGAGCGACACTATGCGGAAGAAGTTAGCTTTGCTTCTTCTCATACTCCACATGTGAGAATCCGCGTCCAGCATATACTCGACAACCTCTTTCCTTAGCGGTGGCTCAGCTCGGCCAAGCCTTACTGCTACAATATTCATGGCCTGATATCTCAAACTGTCTAGCTGATTTACAGTAAAAGGATGCAAATAATGCATTTTTGGCAATAAGGGGTGTCCATAGAGGTATATCATGTTTGCTAGTGATAGGCAGGTGAATCGAACTGCTAATTGGAGTTCTCCCATCTTTTTCAGTCCAGATGGTTGTAGGACTAGAAGTGGATAGGAGTGAGTGTATATTCGATCTGTTTCCAAGGTAGATAGTCGAATTCTAACCTTTCCAATTCTCGAGTCAATTCGAGCTCCACCACCAGTTGCCGGTTTTTCACTGCCACCCAAGTGGCAGTTGTCGAAAACTCCCAATGTGATCACCGTGCAAGGGTCATACACCTCCCATGTATATTGCTCATTCCACTTTGGATTCAAGTTTTCAATGATCGTTCTGGTCCGTACCCACTTCAGCCCATACTTGGCTACACAATAAGCATCTGTAGTTCCTCTGCCATCCTTCGCTTTCATTGGAAGAAGCCCTTGCGCACTTAGGATACCGACTTCAAGGATTCCAACAGGCTTCTTCCAGAGCTGCCTAGCTGTTGGTCGTTGGTCGCTTAGATACATTGTTGATTCATCCAGTACATGGTAAGCACCCTCAAGGCAAACTCTGAGATGAAGCCTGGTTGAAAATTTGAGCTCGTGCCTCCTGTCTCCCTCCAGAGCACCAAACCCAAATTTTTCAAGGTCGAACCACTTAGAGTGAACTGGCCGGTGATCCAACCGCCTCTCAAAGCTATGGAGCGGCAAATTGGTTGTCCCCACAACTTCATCTTTTGCAGCACTCGCTTTATTTTCAACAGTAAGTACCAACTGCTCCTCGAAAGGTTCTGCTGCTACAAAGATCAGATCTTCATTCCACATAGGATTTGTTGTTCGTATTGGGCATAGCTTGGTTTTGAGTATTTGGTTTCCAACTTGAGCTTTCACGAAAACCTGTGGCAATTGACTTCTGTCAAGTGGTTCAACATCCTGAGCTTCAATCACATTAACTCTGAGATACCACAGTTTTGGCGAAACGTAAACCTTTGAACGGATATTGAAAACACCCTCCCCATGAACTGAAGCAGCATCTGAGTGCCAGGCCTCTGGAAATGCTTCATCAGCCTGTGTACCCATCCAAACTGCAAGCATCACCTCTCCTTTCACCTTGCTATCTCTGCGGCGCGGATCCTCCAATCTGTACCATTGAGGTGCCAAAGGGCTGTCTGGTGGAACCCTTGTAGGCACTTCATGCATGTCAAAGACCACCTTTCCTACGTAATCATCTCTTGCCACAATCTCTTTATCTCTGAGAAACACTTCAACCAGTGAAGACTGAACTTTTTCCTTCGAGAATGCAAAAACCTGTTTCCATTCAGGGTTAGTTTTCTTCTCAAAATGCTTCGTTTTTCCTTTATAATTCCCGACTTTAACTTCTATGTAGGGGTCGCAGCTTCCAGTTACTGGGTTTGTGGGAAGATCTTTGGCTTTCTCAACTCGAACATACAGATAAAACATCTGCTCAACGAGATCATATGTGCTTGTTGCTCTTTCACTGCTAATCCACCCACCTCCACCGCGTGGTCCTCCATGAGGCCAACGTTCCCCAAGCTGAGGCTTTGTATCCTTCAATTTGAAGTCATCTTTGTGGTCAGGAGCAGCTAATGGATTCATTGGTGCAAAATCGAAGGCACCCTTTTCCAGTGGTTTTTCCTAAGAAACTAGCAGCAAAGCTTGTTGCTTGCGTATTAATGAACAGGACTGCCTCCTATTAACTTATTCCTCAACACTTGTGGAAGTTGAAGTATCTTTAGTTGCTCGTGTAGTATCAGTGCCTGAATTGGGAGCGGAAAAATCAATATTGATGAGAAGAACAGAAGTAGTGTATATGGAAATAACTGTTCATCTACACGTCATTGAGATTTAATTTCTCACCTTCGCATGCAAGAAGAATTTATGCAGTCAGAAATGCTCACTTCATCTCCTTCTGCTGACTCGTATCACAGCCAGGAACTCTCAAGTCTCATCTTCCCAAGAAAGCTGCGATCAGCAAATGATCTGTGCTATTGATGTTATGATTTTTGAGGCATTTGGGATCTTCGAGGGCGATTAGGAGGCACTGGTTGCAAGGAGGTTCGAGAGCAAAGTATGAGTTTAGGTTTTAGAAGCTAACTACTAAAAACAAGTTTATATGATCCTTCTCTTGCTGAGGCTTAACTTGAGAGCATCTAGCAACTCCACCAACAGCTTAACATTACCTTTCTGGTTTGCTTTGAGCAGCAAACGAATCTTAATTTTGGAAGGAAAGGGTAAGAGAAGAATTATTAAGAACAGCTGCAATGCTACTAGTTGCACTAGAAGAAGTGTAATAGGGAAGGCTTTGTAGTTCAACTTACAAGCATAAATGCAAGGTGGGAACGGTCCACAATGAGTATCAGAGTATAAAAAGGTGATTGCCACCCCCACTTGAAAGGACAAAGATAATCTTTTTGAATTTTAAAATAAGGTGACTAAGTGCATGTTCACTATCCTAGATTCTTTAGGCTTCCTTAGTTTTATAAAATTGTCAAACGGGATTATTAAACTATCCACATTACCCTTCAATCTCCATTCCCGAGACCTTTATCGCTCAAGACATGGCAATTCTGGTTACTTTATTTGAGCTGCATCACCTAGTGAGGACAGCTACTCCCTTCTTTCTGGTTTCTGGAGCAAAGCGAATGTGAAGGAAAGGGAGCAAAAACAATCACCTTGGAAAATTTTGAAGAGTTAAAAATACTGTGGGGAGCTTAAAGAAAGAAAAGCAGCATAGAAAGCTTAAGGGTGCATCACCTTGCACATAAAGATGCTTTAGCCAATATTCTCTCTATCTTTATTCTTCTTTAATTTAATTTCTTGCTGTCATTATGACTTTCTTCACATAAAGTGAAATGCTGTTTTCTTTTCATTACTTGTTTATAAACTGAGTCCCATAATATCGGTCAAAAAGGTCATTAGTGGGCATAGCACCTGAAAAATTGTGTGTAAACTTCTTCTTACTTGGTTTTGGTAGCTTAGGCATTTACAGACAAGGCTCCTCCCCTCTTTGTTGGATTCTATTTTGCTAATGATTTTGAACCAATAACAGATAACCCTTTTACAGATGGAGCATCTTTTGCTTTATAAAACTCTGTGTAACGATGACTATGCTAAGAGAATATGTTACGTGCCGATCATTGGCACTGTAATGATGCGAGAAGATAACGGAACCTTCAATTAGAAAAAAAGATATAGCAGAATGGAGCACTTGGTGCCTTTCTGAGGAGAAAAGTGTATTATTGACTGTAGTCTTATTTTTGTATTTAGATTCTTCTAATTAAAACATCATGATTGCTTGATCCCTACTATTTGGATTATATGATAATTATTTTGGAATCACGGATGCCAAACCATACTTTAGAAATAAATTGTCATCTGTAACAACTGCTCTATTTCAGAACATGTTCCAAATTTCTCTTGAGCTTGCTGCTGTATTCTTCCCATGGTGCTCCTAATAGCATTGTCTTTCTTTTCAAAGAAATTTTTTAAAGCTAACGCAGAAGAAATGGCTAAGTCCATCCTCTGCTAACTCTAGGATTTAATATAATATCTTTTATTTAACATAGCCTCAGAATTTCTATGAAGACAGCCGAACTTTCGAAGCATTTCA